CCGTTGTACAGTTCACCTATAAGGATGTATGTATATACATGTTTACCTATATATCTAATATTTTTTATTTTGCATAAGAGCTATCATATCAGAAAGAACATAAGATATTTTGCCTTTGGAGATTGGCTTATTTCACTAACCATAATGATTTCTAGTTGGGACCATTTTGTTACAATTGTATAATTAGTTCTTTTTCATGGATGAGTAGTATTCCATGGATATACCACATTTTCTTTTATCCATTTGTCTTTCAATGGGCATCTGAGTTGTTTCCATGTCTTTGTTATTACAAATTACTTCTATAAATATTGGGGTTGCACGTCACTTTCTCATAGGCAGATTTCACTTCCTTTGGATGCATGCCCATAATCAGGATAGCTGGGCCATATAGGAGACCAATTTTCAGTTGTCTGTGCACTGCCCATACTGACTTCCATAATGGCTGCACTAGCGTACATTCACACCAACACTGGAGCATTCTACAAGGTACAGACTTTGGTAAAGACGTCTTAGAAAAGCCACCACAAGCACAAATAATCAAAGCCCAAATAAACAAATGGGATGACATCAAACTAAGAAGCTTCTGTACAGCAAAAGAAACAATCAACAAAGTGAAGAAGTAGCCAGTAGAATGGGAGAAAATGTTTCACACACTATACAATGTAGGGGACTAATATCCAAAATTCATAAAGAGCCTCAAAAATTTAGTGACAGGAAAGCAAACGACCCTGTGTAGAAATGTGAGAAGGAAAGGACCAGCATTTTTCAAAAGAGTAAATTCAAATGCCCAACAGACATATAAAAAAAAATACTCAGGATCAATAAAAACCACACTGGGGCTCCACCTAACTCCAGTGAGATTGGCCTACATTCAGAAATCTACTAACAACATGTGTTGGGAAGGATGTGATGAGAAAGGCAAATAGGTTTAATGCTACTGTCACCCTGTCATAGCCATAATCTCTTACTCATTCTCATAAAACCTTTAGCTCTTCCAAACTGGGACTTGCAGAACTCCGGAAATGACCAAAATACTCCTTAGAGGAAGTTTTCCTTTGCTTTGGCCTCCTAAGAGCATTACATAGTGGTAATGGACTCCCTTTAACTTCCTAGATTATATAAATGATTTGCAAGGATATGAGGATAAACTGGCGTCTTCTTCACTCTTACTGAAGATTAGTCTTCTGGCAAAAAGGCAGTCAAACTCCAAAGAAAAAAATATAGAAAAACTTTGCCAAAAGACAAACCAAAACTGGTTTGTAGTCCTCCCAATTGTCCTACTCAGAATTAGGAAAGGGTCCCAACTTCAAGCTTGCCCTGTTTAGAGGCTGCTTATTCAAGGCCTTTCCTCTATTTCGACATCCTGTTATATGTAGAAATAAGCAGTAATGTTAGATAGTTATTTCTGTGGCTCAGTTTCAGAGGGCAGTCTGACACCTTGGGCAGCAAATGAGTCAGGATGTCAGCACACTCCATTTACAGGAACCTGGGGCATAGGTTATCTTTAAAGTTTGGAAGTACAATGCCCATAGTCCAAACTTACTCCAATACAGAAAAGACCTTACCCTGTTTCATTCTCCACACATTCAGTATAGAGCATCCAAACCTATACCTACCAAACCAGGCTAAAGCCGCACTGCTTGGGGGACCAAGATGACTTTGGACCAAAGGGGGCTTTTTCAAGATAACCAATGGAAAACATGTACCTACTATTAAAAGTAGTGCAAGTGAGTGAAAAAATGAAATATCATCTTGTGGTTTACCTTTACCAATGCTAATATGCTTCTGACTCTAACTAATGTTTATCTCTCCATCACAACACTTCAGGGTGCAGCTGATTTACTGGAGATCACTTCTTATAGCCCAGTTTATTGCAGAAATGAGAAATATCCATCTCATTGTCAAACCCGATCTCAAGGAGTGGAGGGACAGTTCTAGCAGATTGAATTGTCTCTCAAAGACCCTGCCCTCCTCACTTCCACAGTGAGAATCTCAGAACTTCAAATGTCATGGCCTGTTTAAATAGAGCATCTTTCTGATTTCTGGCTGGGGTTTGCTAATAGTGGAACTGGAATGCTGGGGGTGGTGGGGAGTCATAGCACCCTTCTCTCTGTCATATGCAGAGACTGTATTCTGGTTTTAAATCATGGCTTCAGAAAGGCTCCCTTCCCCTTCAATTTCTCCTTCATCTTAGGGTTTCCATGACCATTCCTTCTCTTTGCTTCTTCAGATCCAGAGCGCCACAGCTGTTGTTATTTGATGGGATGCTCCCCTTGCTGTCAGTTTCCCTGAGCCTGCCCTCAGTCTAGTCAGCAGTCCACTCTCACCCATAACTTCATGAAAGTGGCTGCTTGGTATCTTCTGGGACTCAGCAGACACATATATCATGTGCCTAGAATGAGCATCAGCTGGCAAATGACAGGCCTGGGGGGGCGGGGCAGGTCATATCGGACTGTCTGAGAGAGAGAGAGAGAGAGAGAGAGAAAGAAAGAAAGAGAAAGAAAGAAAGAAAGAGAGAGAAAGAAAGAAAGGAGGAAAGGAGGAAAGGAAGGAAGGAAGGAAGGAAGGAAGGAAGGAAGGAAGGAAGGAAGGAAGGAAGGAAGGAAGGAAGGAAGGAAGGAAGGAAGGAAGGAAGGAAGGAAGGAAGAAAAGAAAGAAAGAAAGAAAGAAAGAAAAGAAAGAAAGAAAGAAAGAAAGAAAGAAAGAAAGAAAGAAAGAAAGAAAGAAAGAAAGAAAGAAAGAAAGAAAGAAAGAAACACTGGAAGCAATTATCTCATCTACTTTCCCCTATACTTTGAGCCTTTCTGCCCTAATCAGTGGTCTACATGGGCATACATCTTTTCATTTATGTATACAGCCTCAAAAATAAACTAGGTCAATAAAAATACTTATTTGTTTTTATTGGAAAGGCTAATTTACAGACAAAACTAGAGAAAGATCTTCCATCTCCTGTTTTACTCCCCAGGTGACTACAACTACCTGAGCTGAGCTGATCCAAAGCCAGGAGGAGACAGGAGCCAGAAGTTTCTGGGTCTCCCATGTGGGTGCAGGGTCCAAGGCTTTGAGCTGTCCTCCACTGCTTTCCAAGACCACAAGCAGGAAACTGGATGGAAAGTGGAACAGCCAGGACACAAACCAGGCCCATATGGGATCCCAGTGCTGGCAAAGAGAGGATTAGTCAATTGAGCCATTGTGCCAGGCATTAAGAGATACCTGCATATTGGGGTCTGCCAATGAGGGTGTTCGTAGTGGGAACAGGCATGCAAGTCTGTTTACTGGTGAGGAGAATTCCTTATGTGGGTGGCCAGCATCTAAAGGGTTGGACGCCCAGATTCAACAAAATGACAGAACAGCAAGGAAGTCATTGGTGCACTTTCTTTCCTGGACTTGATGCATCCTTCTTCTCTTGCTCTTTCTCACCAGGACTTCGGATTCTTTGGCTTTTGCCCTCCAAACACTTGAGTATCTCAGGTCTGTCACTTTTAAATAAATCTTGCTCTTTGGCCCAGCGTGACAGTCTAATGGGTAAATCCTCACCTTGCATGTCCGGGCATCCCATATGGATCCTGGTTCATGTCCGGGCTGATCCACTTCCCATCCAGCTCCCTGCTTGTGGCCTGGGAAAACAGTAGAGGATGGCCCAATGCCTTGGGATCCTGCACCTGCATGGGAGACCTGGAAGAAGCTCTTGGCTCCTAGCTTTGGATCGGCTCAATTCCTGACATTGTGGCCATTTGGGGAGTGAACCAGCAGATGGAAGATCTTTCTCTGTGTCTCTCCTTCTCTCTATAAATCTGCCTTTCCAATAAAAATAAATAAATAAATCTTTTAAAAATCAAATTAAAAATAAATAGCTCCTGCTCTCACATATACACCGTTCCTCTCATTTTAATTCTTTGTGTGGGGGGAAGAACTTCAATAAAAGTTTGTTAGTTTCAGGGATAACTGACAACCCTATTTAGCCAACCAGATGCTTTGTGACAATGTCCCCGGTGCTCAAAATCTGGTGGATGATTCTTTAGTATCTGTGCTAGCAACAGTTGGAGAACGGGCTGGTCCCTTTTGTAGCTTCCATGTGGCAAGGCTGCCACTCTATTCACTATCACACTGTAACACATTTTTCAAGCAAGTCAAAGACCAACAGAACATAGGCCTGCATGTGGTGCAACCACAAAGCAGGCTGTGCATCTACCGTTGTGAGTTGGGGTGTTTGGGATCTGCTTGCTACTGGAAGCACCCTTGGAGTTCTGATGTGCGCCACAATGAGTGGCAATTGAGGCAGGAGACAGGAAGGGTTCATTGGGAGAAGCTAAAAGGATTTAAATACTTATTTACTTGCTTGTTTGAAACAGTATTTGCTAAGAAATCCCGTTTTGGAAAACTGTTTAGGCTGCAGTTTGGATAATTGCCAAACGGAGGGAGGCGATTGCTGAAATATGGGGGAACACATGTATATATGGAGAGCTTCAGAAGCCCAGGAGCACATGGTACCTCTTGCCATCAGGAGCACTCTCATTGCCTCATCTCCCCCCACACAAACCCAGCTGCTCACACTCTGTGTATGGAGACACTCCCTGAATCCTTTGCCAGGGGTCACAAGAACCTGACCCGCTGTGGTCAACAAAACTTGATTAACGGCGTCGAGGGCGCAACTCCTTGGGGCTGAGGGCTCCCCCATAACGCGAGGGTGGCAGAGAAGTCGGGAGAGGAAATGTGTAGGGCGGGCAAGTTGGCCCAGGGATGTGCTGGGACCAGGAAATAGCGACCGGTGAGTTTACGAAAATGACATGGACCCGGGTGCCGGTGGGGGCGGCGTGCTGCGACCTGCCAGCCCTGAGCTCCACGCTCTGGAGTGTGCCTGGGGCGATGCCACCCCTGGCCGGAGAAGGGAACCGGGACTGCCCACTCAAAACTTCGGAGTGGACAGCACCGCGACCAAGTGCGCGTGCGCGGTACCAGCTAGCCCTGGCTGTGGGAGTCCGCGAGCGCCTCACGACTGTGAGTCCAGGGGTTGTGCCAGTAACGGCTGCAGTGATAGCAGTTGGCTCAAAAAGCTGCAGCGACGGCGGTGATCGCCCTTGGCGCTTAGATGTGGCCTTTGGTGGCGGCGCTGCTGCTGTGGCTAGCGGACTATGGTGAGTGGCTTTTTTTACTTCCCAGTGTGGTAGCACTTACTCCGCCCCGGAAAACCCACAGAAGATGCCTGGGACGTGGGTCTGTGAGCTCTTGGAGTGCAAACATGGGGGCTCCCCGCGGGGAACTATTGCCCTCTCATTTCCCTCCCATCTTTCCCTGATCCCTCAAAACATTTGTGGGTGATAGCCGGGCTCCTTTCTCCCCTTGATCACCTCTGAATGCATGCACCTTGGAGCACTCCAAACCATGCACCTTGCAAAGCCAAAAGGGACCATTGGAGGCTAGGAGAGGGAGCCCAAGTTTTGTGCCTGCTGGTTTCTCAGTGCGTGGATGCTCAGGGGATTGGATAGGGACAGAGGGAGAGAGTGAGAGGCAGAGAGGGAGAGAGGGAGGGCCCCGGGTTCTGGAGGCAGAAATGTGCACTCTGGCCAAGTCTACCAGAAGTGGGTCCTGCTGTTTGCTGTCCCATAGGCAAATGGGAGCAAAGGAGACGCAAAGGAAGATTGCTTAATTTCCAACCAGGTGCTGATACAGAAGAATCTTAAAAGGTTTTTTTTTTAATCCTAAACGTAAGCTTCCTCAAACTTTCTTGTGACCCTCTTGCTCACTCCCAATGCTCCATCAGCCAGCTAAAAAATAAACCATGTGTCCAATTGTACCTAAAAGTTTTCCTTTTTTAGTTGGGGACCTGCTTTAAAATACATCCACATTTCACGTGATACTTGAGGCCAGGGAGCTCAAGTCAAAACGCATGTGCTGCAGAGTGAGCTTTGGCGTCTTCTGACACCCAGTGTTTCCCTCATACTGTGGTTTGGACGTGGTTCGTTCTAAAAGATGCCAGTGTTGAAAGGTTGGTCCTGAATAGGGGTGCTGTTGGGGGGTGGAACCTGTGAGAGATGTCTGCTGCTCGGATGTCATTGGAAATTGATGTCATTGGATCGTGGGTGGTTATGCTATTGAGCCTGAGCTGGGATGAGATTACGGTTGCTCTTGTTAGAGTTGTGAGAGAACAAACCTGACTCTGTTCCCTCTTTGCTTTGTGTTCTGTTTTACTCCTGACACTGAAACACAGACTGCTGTGTGGCCCTCACTAGCTGCCCACTGGATGGGACTACCCAGTCTTGCCTTTGTGATCTCCACAACTGAGAGCTGATTAAGTCTTTATTATGAGGTAATCAGGTACTTATGGCAACAACAAAGCAGATTAATGTACTTAACAATTCTCATGCAACTTGCAAACTCTCAGCTTTCAATAGGCTTTATCTATTTAAAAAAATAAGAACAAAATAGGAAATTTATGGCCCTCTATTACCCATCACATTTTAAATCTATGAAAAATAAAAATTTCTGAAGTTTTTGAGATTCAGTATTGAATACGTGTAGCATCAACTTTTAGGTTTATTCTAGAATGTTGAATTAGTTCATTTTAAACCAATTATTTGCTTAACTGTGCCTGTGCACATTACTGGGACAAATGCAGTCATTCCCTGTGTATACTGCTACAATGGGGTCCAGTGGCTGGAGTTAAGAAAAAGTTAGGTCATGGACTCCTGATCCAACAACTTGCTCTTAAAACTCACCTAATAAAACTGTCTGCAATATCTTCAGGAATAAGTACCAATGAGTTTCTTCCACAATGCCTTTTGTAATTTCTCTTGTTCCTCATTAAAATGCAAACATTTCTTTTCTTCCTTGTATATACACATGCCAGAGACCACCCAAGCCTGGGCATGTCTGTCTCGGGTGGCAGTCTTACTCTGTTTTCAGACAAATGTGTTTTGTTAAGATTTTAATCTTACACTCTTGTTTGATTCTGATCTTACACTTTTCTTTGATTCTCCTAAGGAAAAGTTAACTACAAAATTCCCAAGATGTCCCTGATTCCTGCTTTTTATTTCCCTAGATTTCCTAAGATACTGCAGCTGGCAACAATCAAAGGCTCTGTTACCTAAAGTGTTGATGTTAGGCAACCATTCCTGTCCTCATTTTAGTATGCTTGTTGCAGCATTCTACATAAAATATTACAAATACTTCACATATCCATTGTATAAAGAAGCAGCCTTCATTAATGAATCAGACAAAATAGGTGGACTAAAATATCACTAATTCAAACTCTTGGCATCAAACGTACTTTTAGTGCTAGAAAGTATAAACAATGTTCTTTAAAATGAGTCTTTTTTTTCCCAAGTACATTAGAAAGACATAGAGAAATGGCACTTTTGGGAATAGGGATTCTTTTGATTACATGTTATTAGTGCCTATTTATATCCAATAGTAGTATGTCCATGTGCCTGAACACTCTTAGCACTCAGAATTTAAAGAATTTAATGTGCTTGTTCATATTAACCTAAGAAAACCACGTAAATCTGAAGCACAGGCACTGTGCTTTTGTCTTATGTTGTGTTAAACGTAAAACAGGAAATTACATATAAAATGGATTTTAATTTGTAGCTTTAAAAGGATACATATGAAAAAAACGTCAACAGTCTTGAACAACAACAATTAATTCTAATCCATAAGATTTAAGAAATTGAATGTAGAAACTAGAATAAGAAAGCAACAAATTCTATATCGATTTATACTTTCAGCTTATTTTATGATGCACTGATAATCAGAACCATTTCTTGGTAACCACTATAGTTTCATGATCTTTGTGGTACAAGAAGTTATCTCAGTTACCTATTTCATCAATTATAGATAACCTGCAACCCACTAGAATAGTGTCAAGACACAGAGATAGTGTGTTGCTTTTTCTGCACCTTCCTGCGGCCCTTATGTCCAAATATATTTTGGTCATATGTTCCCTCTGATCTGTGACAACTAGCACACAAAATACAAAAATAGAATCACTGTAAGTGAGCTTGGTATGCTGGGTTTTAACTGCTGTATGTATATAGCATGTGCCTTTACTCCTGAGTTACGGTAGGATTTCCATTTTTATTTCTTATGCTTTTACATTAACTTTCCCTCTTTTTTTATCTTATACTTTTAAATTATTTTTCTTTTCCCTTTACTTTCCATGACATGATACATCAGTGTATAAGAAAGTTGAGCTTGTTACTGTGAAATGAATGATTATGCTATTATAATAACTTGGAAGAGAAAGAGAGGGACATTTGAAGAGTGAAGAAAGGGGGAGGGAGGCAGGAACCCCTATGGTTCTACATTTGTATCATGAAAAACATGAACTCTTATTTTACATAAATTTTAAACATTTATACAAAATATTTAAACATGGAGAAAAGTTCAAGAAAGAGGAAAGTACATCAACGTTGATGCTCACCAAGAGATTTTTTTAAATGTAATTTTAAGTAGTGGATGTGAAATTAACTTTTTTTTTTGAAGATTTATTTATTTATTACAAAGTCAGATATACAGAGAGGAGGAGAGACAGAGAGGAAGATCTTCCGTCCGATGATTCACTCCCCAAGTGAGTGTAACGGCCGATGCTATGCCAGTCCGAAGCCAGGATCCAGGAACTTCTTCCAGGTATCCCACACGGGTGCAGGGTCTCAAGGCTTTGGGCCATCTTCCACTGCTTTCCCAGGCCACAAGCAGGGAGCTGGATGGGAAGTGGAGCTGCTGGGATTAGAACCGGCGCCCATATGGGATCCTGGCGCATTCCAGGTGAGGACTTTAGCTACTAGGCCACGCCGCCAGGCCCGAAATTAACTGTTTTTAATGGTTAATTTTTTTTTCCTTTGTTCAAAGTGAGCTTTTAAAAATTAAATGCATGGTTAAAGTTTTAAATGTCTAAATCTAGTAGTAATATGGCTCATTTGAAAATGTTTTCCCCCAAAGAAAATGTTGTTTTCAAGCAGACTGCCATGTTAATGAAATAAGTGAAGCCATTTAGAGATAGTATGTTGAACCATTACACTAAATACCTACTATTAGGACACTTGCTCACACAGTCATCCGTGTTTTCCCAGATGGCTTATCTTTGCCACTGTTTTTAGTGAACATTTGAAAGACCACATTTGAAAAGGAAAAATAGGTATTCTTTCCCTTCCTGTTTAGTAAACATTGTAAATTCAAAGTAAACATTTCTCTTTCACATTTTTACTGTCATAGCTTTTTATACAAGATTAAAATGTCTGTGTTTTTATATCTTAATGTCTCTACCTGGCATAATAAACCTTAGGCTTATGATAAAATTGCTTCCATTTTGTGCTTTGGTGCAGAAATTTTTCCTATAATAAAAGAGCAAGCAAATTAGTGTAGGATCGATTTGCTCTGCCATTGGAGGTTATAATGCAGGAAAGCACAAAGCATACAGGAAACCTGGCTTGGGAATACATAGGCTAGCACGGCAGAACCTAGATTTTTCCTTCTTAGTGACCATTAGGATTTGAAATGGGAAGCAGAAACTCTACTCTCCCCTTGAATAAATCGCTCTGAATCCATAAAGCAGTTGCATAAGATTTACAATTTGGCCAGTCCAAGATTTGAGATTCAGATTAGGAGAGTTATGAATGGAAGTGATACTGATGTGAACAGGCAAGGCAAGGGGCTTTGTCAAATGCCAGATCAGTCACAATTGATGCATTTCAAGCAAGGATGAGCACATCCTGTGCGCTAAGATTTTGCAAGATTATCTTAGGCAGTTAGACAAATTTCAGACTGTGTGCCTCTTAACCACTTAAAATATAGCTTATACAAATTAGGGAGGTTTTCTTTTTTACTTTTTATCCATCAATGAAGCAAATATATTTTGAAGCATATAATAAAGGCCATAATTTTAGACTTTATTGGTTTAGCCCAGCTTTTTCCCTATAATTCTGGGTCAAATACTTCCATTTTCTACAACCTTTAAAAATCCAGTTTAGAGATTGCTTTTAGCAAGAATTAAATTACTTATGAATACCACTTTACCCCATATCTTTATTACAGTCTTCAAGAGGAAATATCTGACAACTGGATGCCGATTTATGTCCCATTCAATTCCAGTTGAGACTCCAGTTCTTCATATCAGGGTCTAGCTCTGACAAAAACTGGT